GGCTTGTGCCACGTCACACAACAGGTACTTTGTAATTAGTACATTCCACCATCTCCATTTTACAAAAAGAAAATGAACTGTAACCGAGGTTGGGGACTTGCTCAAGGTCCCATGGCTAGGAAGTGAGGGTGGCCCCGCTGGAGTCCAGGTCTGTCTGATGCTAAATTGCTCTACTTCCTTCTTGAGCCAGCGGATGATGGATGAATTTGGTAACAAGGTGAACTTGAGGGTAAACATTACTCCATCACTCCTTTCTCAATGAGAAAATGATTTCATCCTTTCCCTTTTTTTTTTTTTTTTTGATGGAGTTTTTTTTAATGAAACAACGTATTAACATGTCCTTGTTCCTTCTCCCCAGCAGCTCTCAGTTTGGGGTTTCTGTTTATTTCTAGTTGTGCCCCTTTCCTCATTCTTTATCTGCACAAAGACAAGTGATGTGCTGAACTGTCTCCCTTTCATTCAAAGATTTTCCCCGATGCTTTGATTTCGTTAGTACTTTGTGCGGCTGTGGATACGGTGAAACGGTCATCAAAACCATTCTAATGAACCTGCTGCGAACACTCTGAAGTGAGCACTCTGGCATTTTGGGCAAACACGTGTCATTTCTCAAATACATGTGAGACTTTTGTCCTCCAATGTTCCCCTTTGGAAACCAGGCCTAAGCACTTACTGTGCACTGATACGGGTTTTGTAATTGATGAGCATCACTCGCTCAGGTGGGGGTGGAGATCACAGCTCTGGGGGCCTTGATAGGTTGGGGTTTATTCCTTGCTCTTGTCCCTTAAGCACTGAGCGACTTTGAGCAAATTATCACGAGTCCATTTTACACATGGACTGATGTTGGAATGATGATACGCGGTAACATTGAGTGTTACTGTGAGGTTTACATAAAATAGCTGCAAAAGCTGGCCTATGTTGAAACGCTTCTCTCTCTCTCTCCATCCTTTGCACAGAAAATGGGACTGAGGGTTTGAAGTGGGTTAGGAGAGGAGAATGTGCCTAGACTCGTTGTGGTGGTTCTACAGGCTTCTCTGCTTGTGGAAGTCAGGACAGTCCTCTGTGTCCACAGGCACTTTCATCCCTTCACCGGGTGCGTCCTGAGCGCCAGCTGTTCCCCGTGATACGTGCGCCTAGTTTTCCGGTCCATGGACTCCACCACCTAATGACACCAATACTGTTTTCACAGGGAGCTTATTGACTTTTTTTGTTTGCATAGAATCGTTAACTTACAAAGCTCTTCAGATTGAGCATCTCCTTAATTTTGTTTCCTTTTAAAGAAATGCCCTACGTTCTTACGACTGAGATAGTTTCCTAACTTGCGTGCCCCTAAATATTGAGTCATTGGCTGACCCCATAGGCTTGCTCCTAAGACCCCACAGCCTGATCATTTGTTGCTCTGCCTGAATGGATCATACTAGATGAAAAACGTAATCGTGGGGTATTACGTTTAGCCCAAATATATAATTTTACTACTTCAGGAACAGAATGGTCGCCTGAAAAGTGCTTGGACTTTTGTTTGCACAAAGTCTTAGATTTGAATACTGATGCCACCACTTACTGATTGGGTGTTTGGGGACATTTTACCGAAATGCTCTCGTCGTTAACATGCTCTGTGTGCTATATGTGATCATGATACCCACCTTGTTGTCATTGCTGTGAGGACTGGAGAGAGGTGTGTAAAGCATGGAGCACAGGACCTGGCACAATATAAAAACGTGCCTAGCACATTGAACCATAACACCTGATTGTTTGCTTGTTTTTCTCATAGTGCCTGTGGGAGTAAGCCCGCCCACCACTGTTTCTTGAAAGGTAAAGCACTCGCCCCTTGAGATCGGAGTGAGGTGCTCAGTAAAAGAAGTCAGATGATGAGTTGAGATTCTCCCCAAACTGCCTTTCCAAATGCAGTACTTGAATTCAGGCTCATTGATTAAGCTTGGTGCCGAACATAAGGAACACATGCTGCCTCTTGTCTAGACGGGCAACACACCCTTGAGTGTGTAGTGACCAGGGAAGAAAGCAGGCTTGTGTGCGACGAGCTGTGTAACTCCCTGGGATACATTCACAAATGGATGTGTTGCAGGGTTCGATATGACAAAGGAAGAAAGGAACGGAAGTCACCATGATGCCTAAATTCAAGCCAGGCTTCTATGTCCCGCTCATTTCACTTCCTGCCTATTTGTCCGTCCACTTCTGCGTGTGGATTCCCCCAGCCCAGCCCCTGTTGGTGCCCAGTGAATACACTGTGTGGCCCATGTGTCAGTGGCCTTTTGGGGAAATACAGCCCCCAGGGGGAGGCTGTCTCTTCAAAGCATACCACAGTGCTGAGACACGGCCAGGAAACGAGCCATGTCGGCCTGGGGATGGTCCTTTAAAAGCCTGAACCCTTTCTTTGATGCTGATCATGATCAATTTCTGCTATAAACTTACTTCTCTCACGAGTTATATTTAGGGTTTTCATTTTTGTGTTTTAATTGCATCCCAAGAAAATAGAACTGGTGTCTGTCTGACGGCTCTGCTGGGAGGGAAGTTGGTGGACGGGATGTGGGTGGACATGGGTCAGAGCAGAAGAGAGACCAGCTCTGCCCTCTCCGCACCTCTTCCTGCTGCTCACCCGTGTGCCAAAGACATTCTGTAACACACGGGCTCCGGCCCACCCTTCTTACTGTGGCACAGTGGGAACAAGAACTCTAAGTCATCATGCTTCCTTTTAATGCTTTTGGCATGATCTTGATGACCTTAGCAATGTAATTTCCTTAGCTAAAATTATTTTTTGTGTGTCAATCGATTAGTCCTCTATTCTACATATGGGGGGAAAGTGGGTATTTAATATCTGAGGCTCCTGGAAGTTGAGAGGGAAGTTGAAGAAGCTTTAGCAAAGAAAATGAGTAAAATTGAATAAACTTTAAAAAAAAAACAAGTAAAAGTATTTGGGGATAGTATTTAGTGTAGCAAAGAGCAGGGTCAAGGATGCTTTCATGTTCCAGGAATAAGGCCATTTATAATATAGAGAATGGTGATGAACCAACTATACTGTAAGGAGGACAGGAGAAATTTGTTATCCTATCTAATCAGAGCATAACAGATTTGGCTTACGTGGAATGAAGATTTTTTTCTTACTCTTGGGGCTGGTGAACCAGTTATAAAGGACTATGGAATTTATTTTGATGGCCCTTAACCACAGGATAGATTCTTCTGAAACTGGGATGGCTGAGAGGATGTAAAGGAACATACGAGGTAATTTAAAAAAAGAAGAATACATCCTGGATTGAAAGAGTTACAGTTGAAAAAAATTTCTTCATCCATATCCATAGGCACTAAAAGAAACAACTCATATGAATAACAGTTGGGGTTAAACCTCATCTTGGAACAACCAGCTAATCTTATTTTCTGAAAGAAGACTGTGAATGCTTAGGTAATTGCTTTCTTGATTTGCTTTAGGATCAGTAATTCTCTCTCATTGTTTTTAATCGTGTTAAAGTGTGTTTATTAAAGTACTAATGAGACTAAAGCCATACTGATTAAAACAGAATTATTCATTTAAACCTTTTGATATTATGAAATGAAAGGTAGGTTCTCATATTGGAAGATGAATCCTGTACATCTAATTTGTGGTTTGCCATCTGCCTCGTTTTATTCTGTGTTTTTTTTTTTTTCCCCCCAATCATTTATTTCAGGTCTGTTGAAGTTACAAAATTTTTATGAAATGACCTTTTTTTAAATCATAAAAACAATTTATCCTAAGAGCTCTAGGCAGGGTGCATCTTCCCTAGTGATTTTTATAGCATCTAATTAATAAATAAATGCACGGCTGGCTAGGCAATGCATATTTTAAGAGTAGATTTTGCTTATCGTTGCCCTTTATAATTTTTTTTAAGGTCAAGAGTATTTATTTATTTTTGTAATTTTTATTAATTTATTTTTGTTATAGATGTTCCCCCCCAGACACCCTCCTCCCCATCTCGCCACTGCCCGCCCCCCCCCCCCCCCACACACACAACCTTGACCCTTTATAATTCCAGCCTGTTAGGGGTTGACATTTTTTCCCATCCCTGCTTCCGTTTCCTACTCATTGACTTGACTTCTACTCCTCCTTCCCTTTGGAACTGTGCTTTTAAATCTATCTTCCAAGTGCTGTTTTCTGCCCTTGTCTTACCTGGTTTCATGTGCCTGTGATTTCGTTATTTGCCGTCCATTTTCTGTTTCAGGGTTGTCTTATTTTAAAAATAAGTCAGTGAATTTAAACATTTTAGTCACTTTTTTCCTGCCTTTTCTGCTTGCCTCCCCGTCATACATATTTTGACTGATACCTTGAAAGCAGATCAGCTGTTTGCTTTGGGAGTGCTCAGCCCAGACCTGGAGCAGGGTCAGCCGTTCCCCAGTGGCTCTGCTGTGAGTCCCCCCTTGGTCAGCATGAGCACTGCCTGGGGTCAGCCGCCCCCTGACCTCCTGGTCCACTGCATCCTTCTTGCCAGGTACGCCTGCCTCTCTGGTCAGCTCCTTCCTGCCCTTTCCTCACACCCAGCCAACCTACCTTGCTCCAGACAAATCTGCAGTGTTCCTCGGTGCTCAAAATCCTTTACTACCGATTCCTTGTCCAAAGATGCGATCCAAACTTCTCAGTGTGCATAAAAGCCCCTGCATCTGCTGACCACTCCCGTCTACCTAGCCAGCCGTGTCTCCCCCACAGCCGCCACACCCTCCCCTAGCCGGTCACTGTCACCGCAGCAGACTCCACACTCCCGGTGCCGGACAGGCCGAGCAAAGGCAGGGGGCTGGAACCGCCGCTGTGCCTCCGCGGTGGTGCTGCGGGCAGTGTGGTTCCCTGAGTGCTGAGCCTCAGTGCGTGGAGCCCTGGGCTGGTGCCGGGGCGCTGACGCCCCGCTAAGGAATGGCGAGGAAGGGGTCATCGAGCCATTTTCTCCAAGGGAGAGGATCCTAGAGAGCTTGCCATTGCCCACCCCCGACTCTGATGCCTTCCATGTCTCTTTCCCCAACTTTAGCCTGTGATGGCGACCACTGGGGGCCTCACTGCAGCAGCCGATGCCAGTGCAAAAACCGGGCTCTGTGCAACCCCATCACCGGGGCGTGCCACTGCGCCGCAGGCTTCCGGGGCTGGCGCTGCGAGGACCGCTGTGAGCAGGGCACCTACGGCAACGACTGCCATCAGAGATGCCAGTGCCAGAACGGGGCCACCTGCGATCACGTGACAGGGGAGTGCCGCTGCCCGCCGGGGTACACCGGAGCCTTGTAAGTGACCTACTGCTGGGCTGCGTGGCAGAGCTCACCCCTCCTGATGCCATCTTGTCCTGTGCTCTGCTTCCATCACTGCCCAAGCCTATGAGAAGCAGGAGTCAGGCCCAGATGTAGAGACCAGCAGTGATGGCCACCAGGCGGTCCTGCCATTCGACCCTTGCACGGGGAGCCCAGCAGAGTCTGGGGGCCAGCTCCCACACTTTGCTTTCAGCAGGACCCAAAGAGAGACTGCCAGGAGGCTGCATTGGATGGCAACGCTGTGGGGTTGTTGGGGCGGATTGGAAGTTCTGCTTTGATTCCCCCACGATCACATTCCTTTTATACTGCCGGCATTAATGGTCCATGTTGTTCTGTTCTGCGTGGCAAGTTAATTAGCTGGATGGAACTGGGACGGGTTCAGTGCCTTAGAAAAGAGGAAAGGGAGAAGATGTTAGAGATAGTCCATGATAAGAGGCTAACGGGGTTGTTTAACACCCACAGGTAAGCATGTCGCTTTGCGCATATGAAAATCTGTGTTTCACATCTGTGCGGGCTGTGTGCACACAGACAGTCTAGTTCCCCCTGGAGGACAACAAAGCAGCTCCTTCACCTCCACTGTTTCTTTTGTGGGAAGGACTTCCTTCGGTTTGCTTGCACAGAGTGTCTCCAAGTTAACAGTGCTTCCACTTAACGATTTTTCGAATTTAGGATGGTTGAAGCAATATGCATTCAGTAGAAACCGTACTTTGAATTTTGATCTTCTCTCGGACTACTGGTATGTGGCATGATGCTCTCTGGTGGTGCTGACGGCGGCAGTGAGCCGCGGCTCCGAACGCAAGGGTCAGCGTCTGATACTCAGTAGTATATGCATCGTGTTAGATGGTTTTGCCCAACTGTAGGCTAACGGAAGTGTTCTGAGCATGTTTAAGGTAGGTCACGTAGGTTGTGATGTTCAATAGGTTAGGTGTATTAACTGTGTTTTGGAGTTACGACATTTTCAATTCACGATGGGTTTATCAGGACATAACCCCGTTGAAAGTTGAGGAACATCTGTGTTAGCAGACAGAGTAAGAGGCAGAATTTGCCAAGAAAGTAGGAAATAGAAAAATCTTGTTCCCTTACTAAGAAAATTACACTTGTAAATCACAGGACTAAAACTGAAAAAAAAAAAAAAAAAAATGGGGGCTGATTGGGTAAATATTTCCTGCTGACAGTGTTAGGGCTATAAAGTAGAGCTAAAGAAAAAGTACATTAGTCTAGAAAGCCCTGATTTTCAGAAGAATGAATGATCATCCCAAACTATTTAATTGTTAATATTGCTTCTATGGGTTTTTGTTCTGTTTTTTTTTAAGGCCACAGTTGAATAGGGCTTTGGGGGACTTGGAGCAATTCCACAGGAGAAAAAAGACAAAGGCTTAGAGAGGCTTGTTCACACAATATGGAACAGGGGGTTAAAGCCATGGAGACTGGTGGAGCTGAAGGAGAGAATGCTGAAAAGTGATTATGAAAAATATGTGCACAGAGTGGGGATGTACAGACATTTCCGACTGGTGTGGCTCAGTGGACTGTGCGACGTCCCATGGACTGAGAGGTCCTGGTTTGATTCCCGGTCGGGGCACGTGCCCAAGTTGCAGTCTCGATCCCCAGTAGGGGGTGTGCAAGGGGCAGCTGATGGCTGTATCTCTGTCACATAGATGTTTCTATCTCTCTCTTCCTTCCTCTCTCTCTAAAAAAAAAAAAAAAAAATCAACAAAAACATATGTTTTAAAAAAAAAATAAAAAACCCCAAACATTTCAGTCTCCTTTGAGGTTAGAACAAACACACAAACAAGAATAGACTTCCAATGTAGCATGTGGGCTTGATGAAAGTTACATGGAAAGTTCCTGACATCAGGAGTGTTTTTCCATCCTTGAATAGAACAGTCTCCTCAAATCGAAATGGTTTCATTAGACAATTCCATAAAACACAGAGAAGGACAAGGTGGCCCCTCAAAGACCCTGCCCTCCAATAGGATGTTAATGAAATGAACAGTATTGAAAAGAGAAAGCTTGTCTGTTTCAGGGCCCTGGGTGCTGTTGTGTCTGCGAACCTAAGGGTCATGTGGCTGGATAAATAATGGTGTCCTTTGTCACCCGTTAATCCCTCAGCTGTGAGGATCTTTGTCCCCCTGGCAAGCATGGTCCGCAGTGTGAGCAGAGATGCCCCTGCCAGAACGGAGGAGTGTGTCATCACGTCACGGGGGAGTGCTCTTGCCCCCCTGGCTGGCTGGTAAGCTCCCCTCCGCCCTCCCAAAGTCACCTCTCAGGACACTCCAGTGAAAACGCATGTGGAGGGCTTTAGCACAAAATAAAGTTACACTGATGGTTAAAGATGCGAAAATTAGAAATTCCTGACCATTTCAAAGCTGGAATGCTTCGGTCCAGGGAAGGCAGAAAGTGATTCAGTACTGAACTTGAAGTGTACTAAGGGTCCTTATGGAAAGATAGTAGGCCATCTGCCCTGCATTTTCCCTCAGCATATTAACAGGAAATACCTTGTTTACATAAGGCAGCCAGAGCTGTTAAACACTGGACATATTTAAATAATTATTTTCATAATTATGTTCTGTGGATCACTCTTATTCTTTGAGAATGTTATTCTCAATAGAATAAGTGTTCTATGGAAAAGTTCTGGTCATATAAATCTGGAGACACTTCCAGGTAAACCAAGTTTCCCAAGTGCTGCAGGACTCCTCAGAGCCTTTAGTGTCATGATCCAGGAGGAAGCTACAGCTCATCCCAGTTCCGAATCTTTGACCACGATTCCCTTTCTTGTGGTAGCATCACACAAGCTTACTGTGCTGTGGAATGCACAATGTCAAAACTGGTTTACTACCTGGATTTCTTTGAAACCAGGAAATCATGCTGGTTCTTATTTCTCTGAGTTGGTTTGTGCATAGGTCTCCTTGAAGGCAGAAGAGCGAATGACCGATGTCTGTTTCTTTCATTAACAAACAAAAAATGAAAGAGCAGTTTACTTATGATCATTTTCTACCTCCATGCATGGGGGAAACTGGCTAGTGACTTGCATGGCTAGTGACTTGCTAACTGCCAAATTCATTCTCGTTCCACTTTTCCATTCTCCAAAGATTTTGACAGTGTTCTCATCCACTTCCCTTTCTTAAACTCTTTTCCCTCTACTTCTCTGATAACCCTCTCTCCTGCCTCTCAGTAAAGACCCCCTTTTCTAATTCTCTTCCTTCTACAAATAACTTTATTGCAATATCCCCTAGGTTTCAGTCTTGTCCTTCTCTGTTCTTGCTATAAATCGTCTCTGGAAATCTCACCCAGACTCGTGACTTGAACAATCATATGCTTATGTTCCCAAGTCTTAATCTGCCCAGTCATGTATCTGTCACTATCCTATTAGACTCCCCAACCTAGACTACCTGGGTATGAAGCCACCATCTGTCTGGGAGCCAGGCGTGGGATGGAGTAGTTGGTATTGTCCTTGTTGTGGGCATGGAGCCAAGGAGAACTGGAGTCCAGTTCCCAGGGACAGTCCTGGGAAATAAGGGAGATGTCAAGATGTTCCGACCATTGGGACAAGTGGAAAGCAAAGATCAGACCCAAGGTGAGAGTTAGAAATGGTAAGCAGATAAGACAAGTTCCTGATCTAGAGGCAGAGTCTGGAGAAATTCCATGAAGCAGCCAAGTCAGAGCGAGGGGCCTTTTCTTGAGCAACGGTGATAAGGCGAACAAGAAATCTTGGAAGGAGCATAGAGGTGGTTCAGGAAGGCCCATCAAAGTCCATGTTAATAAAAACCAAACTTGTATACCAGACTTGAGTCTTCTACCTTTTTAAAAAAGTCTTAGTTAAAACCAATATCTCTCTCTTAGTGCTCAATTATATGGGATTCTTTCTATTCTTTCATTTCTTTTACTCAGCCTTTTGTCAACACTGGTCATTGCTTTGTACTTGGTAGAGGAAGGATTTTGCTGGGGAGAACTGTGTTCTTTGAATGAGGAGCTGTAGGCTTTCTACTCCCAGAACTTTTGTGTAGACTTTGAATGTAGAGCTGCCTCCTCTTGAGATGGAGACTTTCTTCTTCTTGCTTGGGGTGGTCATGATGTGTCATAATGGTAACCACCGTGAGTCCTACCCAGAGGGTGCGCAGGGGGCTGTCCCCGGCCGCCCAGTGGAGCCTCCCCTATACCTTGATAGATGTTTCTTCCTGAATGCTTCAGGTCATTTTTCTCTGTGTGTAGCTGAACTTCCATTTTATACTTGTCTTTTAAACATTTCATTTGTGCTATCATGCTAGGTGCTTTTTCTTGTTGATTATGCCTTCCTATTATGCATACACACACACATGTATTTCAATGAGTGGAAATAATGTCCTTCTTCACGCCGTTTGCTCACATCGCTTTCTATTCCTAAACAGCATTTCAACAGCATCTCTGAAGCTTCTGTGAGAGCGTCACAAACTGGGTGGTTAGAGCAAGTCCCCAAGAGAGGAGAACGTTCACCCTGCTTCCCACAGATCGATCCTCAGTACATTATTCCTTCAGTCACGTTTGTGTTGTGCTCATGGAGGGATTGGAGTTATCTGTACATCTGTCCCCCTCACCACATTGTCAGTTAGTACGAGTTGTGGCCTTATCTTTGATTCTCAGAGTTTAAGCACCGTGCCTGGCACGCAGACGATTCTCAGTCAGGCGTTGATTGGAATCATCTCTCAAAGGCTTTTTCGGTTCCAAGTGCCTATGGAAGAACTTTCCCTGTCCGTAGATAGATAGAAACCACCAGAGGAGACTTAATTATCACACCAACTGCCTTTGTGGATAGCCAGGAGTTAGAGGAAATGTATTTTCTTATGCTCTCCAGAATAAACATTTACAAAACCATCTGGTGCTCACTGGCCTCCAATTTCAGAGTGCCCACAGTCTGCCTTCTTTTTCTTTTTCTTTTTTTTCTAGAGCGAAGGAGAACAAAGCAGCAACTTCCAACAGTTAAAAACATTTTTAAAATTCCTGTTATTTGCAATATGTTGTTTGTTCCAACAACAGCCCCAATAAATAGATAAGCTAGAAGACCAAGCTACGTAGCCATGTAAAGTAGAAAATAGTAGAGCATTTCCTAGATTTATGGGTACAGTACTTTATTCTTTTTCACATAGGATTGGAATAAATATGACAAGATGGACAGCCTCTAGGGTGAGGAGACACAACCAAGTTACTCTTGATTTTTCTTCCCAGGAATTAAGCCTTCCTATTGATCTTGGCCCAGCAATGTTTGTTGAAGCTGCTGAAAAATGGAAGTGTTTTTCTTCTGAAATAAAATGTCTGGGTTTACTCCTTTAGAAGTATCTCCTAGGCACTGTTATTATTAATTCAGGTACACAAAATTTCAAACTTATGCTACATTGCAAGAAAGGAAGCCAATGATACTGTGTATTTTTGTCTAGAACATATGGTAAAGCACTTGGACATTCCATTTGCACCAGATGTTGCTGTTTATGTAACGGATGCTCTATAAGTATTGTTGACTTATTGTACATGTAAGACACAAGGAAAAACACTTGGAAGGATTTATAAATCCCTTAGGTTACCATATTAATTTGATGGGACTCTATCTTAAGCTTTAGGGGTTTTTTTGTTTGTTTTTTGTTTTTAATATGGGTGGGTATTTCTTAAGATTACTATTCTGCCACCTTTGAATGTATCTTGAGATTTAGGCTTACCAAGTAAATCAGTCAATTTAAAGTTTCTAATATTTTTTAAGATGTTGAATCTGTGTTCTAAAATTCCCTTCATCTAATTTTCTTGCATCTCTGTTCCCATATATTCCTCCTTCCCTTTCTGTTTCCTCTCTTTTCTCTCCTCCTCTGGCCCTTCCCTGGCTAGAATCCCATCTAATTTTCCAAGTCTCTTTGAATGCAGGGCACAGTGTGTGGTCAGCCTTGCCCCGAGGGTCGCTTTGGAAAGAACTGTTCACAAGAATGTCAGTGCCATAATGGAGGGTCGTGTGATGCTGCCACAGGCCAATGTCATTGCAGTCCAGGATACACAGGGGAACGGTAAGGGAGTCTTGTACTTCTGTTTGTAATGGCGGGAGAGGAGAAAGCTCCAAAGGTCCAGCAACACCTCCGCTACCATGTGTCTGTGACTGTTCTCTGACATTCCAGAGCACCTAGACGCTGTCAGCGTTTGCCACATTCTTTCCTGACTCCGTGCATAGAAACTGAATCATAGACTGTGATGGTGAACTGAAGATACAAAGAAAGCATTAAAAATAATAATAATAAAACACACCAGCCATTCAAAACCTACGATGACTATGTCATTCTAAACAGTTGAGTGTTTAGGACAGCCACTTCAAGCACCAAACTTTTTACCTCGTAGACATGTTTAGAGAGATTGATTTTTAAATTGGATGTGTACTGCCCTGGCCGGTTTGGATCAGCGGTTGGAGCGTCAGCCTGTGGACCAGAGAGTCCCAGGCTCGGTTCCCACTAGGGGCACATACCAAACAAAAAAATAAATAAAATTTAAATAAATAAATAATAAATGAATTGGATGCGTACTTATGTATCTTTTAAAAATGTATTTAAATTTTTTCATTGTTGACTAATGCAGATGTCCCCCATACCACCGCCCCCTGATTTGCCCACCTCCTCCCAGCCCCCTCCCCCCACTCCCCACACTATTGTATCTTTAAAAAGCATGTTGGACATAATGTTACTTTCATATGATTCAGAATTCTATTAAGAATACCATTCATTTTATTGTGCTCTAGTGATAGAGTAAGATCTGGACTCTGGTCCCACGTGAAATAAGAGCCACTGACGACGCTCTTGTGAGTCTTACATTCACTGTCAGTCAGTTTTTGGATTAGATGGAGAACTGCTAACCCAGAGGGCTTTGCGCACCCTGTGTCTTCCAATTTGCTCTTTCATCTGTCATACCCTGTAAGACAAGGTAATCAAGCTCATTGGATGTGTGTGTAAAATCAGAGAAAAGAGACTTGAGAAGAAGAAGAGTATAATGGCTGAAAACAAAGACTCTGGAACCTCTGTTCTCATCTGTAATGTTCAATAATAATTGTCCTTTCCTCTAGGGTTGTTATAAGGATTAAATAAGTACATTGAAGCATTTAGAACAGTGCGGAAACGTATTAATATTAGCTGTTATTATAGTTGAGTGATTTCTATGAACTGCATAAATCCTAGTGATTTCAATTTGAAGAATGTTTAGGACTGTATAAATATTAGCTATCAATATTTTTTATGGTATCTGTGAACTAAGAATTCATTCAACCTCCTTCCTTAATTTTTTTCTTTCTAAAATTCTGGTCTAATTTTATGACTGTTAATAAGATACTGTAGGGTGTTTTCCCCCCAGTTAGACTCTGCGCTTCCTTGTTAAATTTATTACTAAACATTTTGTAATTTTTGAAAAACCCCACTTCTGTCTTTAATTGGGTATTTTTGAATAAAGGAAAACTCACTTTTGAATACAGCATGGGGCAAAAGTAGATTTATAGTTTTGAATATATGAAATACAGAGTGTATTCTTGGTGTTTATTATTATTTATTAATGATTGTGTTATTTTCCACACAAACAACTATAAACCTAATTTTGCCACACCCTGTATTTACTTCTTTATTTAGTCTCTCTCCTAAACTTTTTGGTTAACTCTAATGTTATTTTTAGCAAATGCCAAAGTTAATTCATCATTATTAATAAAGATGAGCCAGTCTCTTCTTTATAATATATAATGACTGTTTCATTTTCTTGAATTTTTGCATCAATTAAAACCTTGAAATCAAGGTTGACAGAAGGAGGTAAAAGTGGGAATTTCTGTCTTGTTCCTAATTTTATTGGAAATGGCTTCTGTAGTTTAATGTTTGTTATTGATTCTTAGGAAACTTTCATGCTCAAGTGGTTTTTTTAAAATCCCTATTTATATCAGGAAATTTTGTTAGTGGTATATGTTTTATTTTATTAAAGGCTTTTTCATCTTTTGTTAATATAATGATGCATTGTTTCCTTTAATTTTTGGATGTTATGAATTATTGACACCTTTAGTGCATTGTTATATAACGTGTAATTAGGCTACTCAGACGTTTTTGTGACCTGCATCCTGGCTATGGTTGTATTTTGGAGAGAGGAGGTTGTCGATGGATTCTGGATCCATTATCACGAACTTCTTTTCCCAGAAAGATGAGTCGGGGAAGGAGAGACATAGGACCAGGCGGTGTCCTAAATAATGGGTTTGTGGAATATTTAGGGCACTAAAGTTTTAAATGTAATTGTTTTATGCCCTCTAGGGATTTAAGTCTGGAATTCAAGTCAACACAAAACAAACCTATAGCGCAAGCTTATATTCCTCTTATTTGGAAGACAAGGAAAGGCATCACAGCTCATTTTCAGGTGAATTCTAGATTTGAGTCGAGAAGGCGAAGGGCAGGAGAAAGAGAAGGAAAATGAAGAGGGAACTTGCTTCTTGAGTTTTGTTCGTGTGATTACTATTTTCCTGATGAACTGATGGCATGATCTCTGTTTTCAATTAGGCTATACCCATCTGGGTTCTCGAGTTCACACACACACACGCTAAGGCCAAGCATATTTGTCACTATGAAAGGGGGAAAAAGCGAGGCTCCGGGACAGTTTGTGGCAGGAGGTGCGGGCCAAGGGCCAGGGTCCCCTCTTGCTGTTTCCCGTGTGCCGAGCAGTCCGCGGTACGGTGATGACGAGGTCGGGCCACGGGGTGTGGCCTGGAGGGCCAGGTACCACCACATGCGTTGCCAGTGAAGCATTAGCAGGATGTGGGAGCAGCCGTCCCAGCCACAGGCAAACAGAAAAAACCCAGCAGGCATCTTGTGGGCAGGCAGAGCGCTCGTGGGATGCCGAAATGATAGGCTTTGGGGTTTGTGGAAAGGTCGAGAGGATGTTGTGATAAGGGAAGTGTAGTGTCACGGCCCAGCAAGAATAAGGAGAGGGGGGTTTCCAGATCCTCCCAAAAAGTCTCCTGAAGGGGTTAAAAGAGTGTTTTTAATGCTAATGGGTTGTCGTGGAATCACTCAGGTCTCGGATGGCCTGGCCAGGGTCTGTGCTGCCTAAGGAGTCATGGATCAGTTGGACTCTGTAAAGGTGGGAACTAAGACTGTTCTGCCATTCCTGTGTCCCTGTTACCCCCAAAGCGAAGAAGCAGGGGTGTGAAAGGAGGTAACACCAGAAAGCATAGACAGAAATGGGGGGATGCGACCTCCGTCTCCAGTGGAGGAACTCTCGGGCAGCAGGGCCGGGGCCAGGTCGGCTGTTTTTCAGTGCTCTTGGTGTTTTCTGCCGAGCAGCAGTTCCAGACATTGGAAAGGCAGGGGCCTGATTCATTGATCCAGGTTTAATGAGGAATGTGATTCTTCCGCTATATCATCATTTGGCCCAATTATTCCAGACACTCTAGGGAGGGACATGCTCAGAAGGACAGGGAGACGAAGGAAGCTGCCCCCCCGCCCCCGCCATACTAACTCACTTCCTTTTCCACACGTTCACCATGAGATGCAATGTAATTGTCGAAACGGCATAACACAATCCTGTGGTCCTCATCAGTTTGGGAATTGGTGTCACATTTTATTTATTTATCTGTATTTATTGTTCATCTATTTTTCCTCCTTCCAGGGCATTATTCAAAATCTCAAAAAGTATATATATATAGAAACTCTAAATATCCATATTTCTACCATGACCAATATTTACTGCTATATCTTTACCTGCCTCTTTATCATCTCTCCTAAGAAAATGTATTTCCTGTTTTCCTGATTCCTAAGATAGTTTTTCTTGTTCCACTTGGTACCACAAAAGCAATAGTAAGGGCATTAAATTTGCTGGGAAATGATGCTTCTTTTTTATAAAAGGGCTAAAAAAGGGTGACGGACTCTGCTTGACAAAGACTTCACCCAATCAGAAAGGCAGAAGCTACTTTGTGATTGCGTTTATTTTCGACATGGAAAATGTCTACTTCTAGAAAGACCCCCCCCCCCCTTTTTGGTGTGGTAGATGGAAGTAGACATGACTGTTATTAACAGGATTCTCTTACAAGTGCAGCATTGACAAAACAGAAGTGGGAATCTGAACCAAGCTTTACATCCTGGCTACTTGAGTGAGTGAAATTCAAATGGCTTCTTGCCATTTATAACATAGACTAGTAGTATATTTAATTATAGGTTAGAAAGATAAATATGTCCAGGACCAGCTATTATGGATATTGTTTTCCCAGAGAAAAGGAAGTCCCTGCCAAGATATGAAATATCCACACTGCTTCCCTGTCATTTGGTAGCTGATGCTTTTCCAGGCTTCCTACCTCTGCCCGGTTCACCCACTTGAAGAGCTGTGCTTCTTACTGAGTTAAAATCATGCAGTCCAACACTTAGCATTTGAGTTTGTTTTCAAATCCTTGCAAGCGGGAGAAACCTTTTTACCTTCTCTTTTTCTTTTTGGTATACTGACTTGCAAAAAAAAATAAAATAAAATCTGGGCAGGCAGGTGGCAAAGCTGTCTTGCTAGCATTTAGTGAAGCGATGGTGAGGCCAAATAATTGTACCTCAGCATTTTGTTCTCTGAAGTTTACATCTTTAAAGAATAAACTAAGTGATGTTGCTTATTAAAGCTTCTTACAAGTCAAAAATAGAATACCTTTTAAAAATGGTCTAAAAAGAGGTAGACTCGTGTATCGCTTGAAAGCACACATCTGATTTTATGCTAAATGTTAGTGCAATTACTCAAGAAATTATCTAGTAATTTGTTGAGCAGTTAATTCAAAGACTTTGCTTATTAACAAACACACCTAAAGAGGTCTCGAGTCTGTGAAACCCAGTTTGCAAGAGGCTCATTTCCTTGTCTCTATTGCATTAAATATGTGCAAGAGCCAGAGTTAACCAGAAAAGAATCAAGGATTCTCCAGATTTATCTTCTACACTTAAATAGAATTCCTGCCCTGGTGTTGTTAATAATCACACCCTATCATTAAAAATATGCAAAGTCACGTGGAAAAGGTTGGCTTTTCAGCCATGTTGCTGTTGCTTTTAAGTACACTTGGATTTATTTTGCACTTGCTGCTTGCATTCTATCCATCTAAAAAGTGCTGTGCTGACCTACATTTTGGACTGGGTCTGGCATGACATGGGGAGTGGCTGCTGAGACTCACAGTGTTACCCTACTTGTGGCAAGCACTTGGCTAGATGAGACCCCATCTCCCTTTCCCTTGGCAAAAGGTACCCCTTCTGCTGCAGAGTGCTCCATCGAGTCACCTTGCCTGGTCGAAAGGGGGCTTGGCTGGCCAAGAACGAGTCCTGCTTTCCATGGAGCAATGAACATCGTCTCGTCTCTGTCATGATTCCCTCCAACAGCTCTGCTTCCCACCTGGTCCAGCTTATCCAGCCATGCCCTTCTTCTGGGACTGAGCTCTAATGTCATTGTTTAAAAAACAATAAAGTGAATTTTTGAGGTTTGATATTTTTTTCTTGCGATCTGGCAGCCCTTCTTCTCCACAGAGGACAATAATCTTTTTAACAAAAACGTTGCATTCGGGAACTGCACACCTTCCTACAAGGTCCAGCTCCTGCACCCAAGGTGGAATCGAGGACATCTGATTTCAGAATCTCAGACCTCCCCCGATCTAAAGAGGACTTCATTAGTTACATACCTTTAATCTCATGGCTAAGATGGAAAAGTAATGTCAACATGAAAGCCAATGGAATTAAATTTTAGTTTAGAATTTGCTGCAATGTTTTCTCTTTGGAACCGGGAAACACATTTTTTAATTTCCTAATTATAGACTGGGACTAACATTTGGGCAATTTCTTTTCTCCCTTTCCTGATATCTACTAAAACGTGACATACACCTTTGGCAAGTGCAAGGTATAAAACACACTTCACGTCCCAAGCTCCTAATTTTATTTTATGTTATTTCTTTGATCCGTTCCCATTGCTGTTACTACTGTCTGTAGTCGGAGTAATTCACCTCAATGCTCTTCATACCTGTAAAGGGATAATCACTAAATAAGTATCAAGTCCAAAAAGTAGTTTTAACGTCTACCTGACAAAGTCTGTCTGAATCAACTGTTTCCACCAGGTGCTAACTAGTCTGTCCTGCACTGCCGCCCCTGCCCGACAGGTGCCAGGACGAGTGTCCCGTGGGGACGTACGGCGCCCGCTGCGCTGAGACCTGCCAGTGCGTCAACGGGGGGCAGTGCTATCACGTGAGCGGCTCCTGCCTCTGTGAAGCAGGCTTCTCGGGGGAGCACTGCGAGGCGCGCCTGTGTCCGGACGGGCTCTACGGCATCAAGTGTGACAAGCGGTGCCCCTGCCACCTGGACAACACTCGTAGGTGAGGGTTTGCTGCCCCTGGACGGACGTGCCCCCTATTTGAAAGGAGAGGTTGGCAGAGAGATTCCCACCCCAAGATCTTCCATGCCTCCGAGTCATCCTGGGCAGGACCACCGAGTCCCCGGGAGACTTCTGTGCGTGGTGGGTGGTGGTCTGAATCAGAAGTGCTAACGTTGTTAGGCGGTCGTGGGTGGATATTACGTTCTATCCTCTACGAATGGTTCCTAGCCAACACCGAACTGGCTGAGGTTAGTAGCAGGTTTTCCTGAGAGAGGGATTCTGTGGCACTCCCTTTGAAGCAGAGATGCAACGGGAGACCTGGGCTAAGCGCAGTTTAGTATGTAAACATGTCACAGGCCGGTTCTCACGGCCACATCTCTTACTTGACAGAATGAACATCTGTGTGGAGAGAAAGTGTACTGGTGGCAGTCCTTCACATGGGGCTGTCACACGTGAAATACATTTTCAGAATTGATTATCCTAACATAGAGCTCACAGGGGTCTCTTAGCTCAATAATCTCGAAGAATTTAAGAACAGGAAACCGTGATCCCACCCACCCTCCTGTACCTTGTCTGCCCCTAAAACTATCTTCCCAACCCCTTACTTCCTCTTCCTTCCCCATGGACCAGATACATATCACTTGGAATTCTGGGTTTCATTTGTAAACTGCTGGGAAAGTTGAGTTTGACAAAAATGTGCATTAGACAGCAGCTCAGACATTGCAAAAATTACTTTATTTGCATTTACCACAGCTGTTATTTTATTCATGATTCTAAAAGATAACTCGTGGCCACATCAAATCTCAGATACACAAAAGTTAAAAGTAAACAGAAGCCTGTGGTTGGTCTTTAAACCATTGTTGGGAACAAAAAATGGACTTTTGCACTCTGTGTGTGTGTGCGTGTGTGTGTGCACAGACATGTGCAGTGGGTACCCACATGCTGGCATACATTTTAGTGGAGCATATCAAAGAAGTACATTTTTTTTATCCTCACCCGAGGACATTTTTTCATTTTTTGTTCATATAGAGTGGGAGGGAGAGAGAGGAAGAAAAAGAGAGAGAGAGAAACATCGACATGAAAGGGACACATCAGGGACACATTGAGTGGCTGCCACCTGCACGATCCAACCAGAGCTGGGGACAAACTGCAAGGGAAGTACATGCCTTTAGCGGGAACCGAACCCAGGTCTCTCTGGACCGCAGGCCGACGCTCTAACTGCTGAGCCAAATTGGCCAGGGCAAGAAGTACATTCTTAAGGTCTCGAGCAACTTTGTAAGCTTCTTAGTCAACTTTTGGTTTTCTTTATTGGAAACTTCTACCACTCTGCTTTGTGACAAAGAAAACGTTTGTTTGCTTTTAACCTCTCCAATGTTTAAGGATCTAGCAGGATTTAGGGACAAATGATGAATCCGGCTACCTCATGTAGCAATAGTTAAGAACTACAAAGGAGCTCTTCTATGAGAACAACTAGAGCAACAGATAAAATGTTGGTTTTGTTGTTGGGTACCATGTTAGTAGTGGCAGGTACAAGAGGACAATGCCATGGTGATTTTGACATAGGTCACGTGTACCTAAGCACGTATGCGTTAACAAAGGGTACAGTTGTCCTTCGGTATCTTTGGAGGATTGGTTCCAGGACACCCCCCCATGGATACTAAATCCTCAAATGCTCAAGTCCCTTATATAAAATAGGTGCATATCACCTATATGTGCATATCACCTGTATTTGCATGTGTGCTACCACAGAGTATATCTACACACATCACTTTTTCTTGTGCATTCAGCAAATTCAAGGTTTGTTTTTTAACTTTTGCTTTTTGGAACTTTGGCAAATTCAAGTTTTGCTTCTTGAAACTTTCTGAGGTTTTTTATTTTTCACAAAATATTTGTGATCTGCTTTTGGTTGAATTCTGAATGCAAAACCTGTGGACAAGGAGGGCCTACTGTACATAAAATGATTTGATAATCGCCTAGGTCAAAGGAACACTAAAACCTGTCTAATGCATAACAATCAAAGACTAAAAAACAAATAGCCTATGAAATGTTTCCCTAATAATAAAAGCTATTTTTAAAAATTAGCTTTTACACATTTCTATTGAAACCATTTGAATGTTGATTATATGACTCTGTCTTGTTGAATTCACAGTTGGAGCCATCAATATGATTTTTATATCTTGACCTTCTGTGTAAAATTCCTGGAAACATACAGTTCCTTTGAACTAAAAAAGCATAAAATCTGTGTATTAATTAAAAGTCTAGCTTGTTCATTTTACCATTTAATCAAACAAGTGGAGCTTGCTGTTACATAATTTATGATGTCTATTTATCCTAAACCTTTCATTATAATTAATGAAATGACTGATACAATGCAAACTATGAGTTTAGCTTGTCTTTAGATAAATTTGGGTTATATAGACGTACATGTTGACATGTATTGCAGCCACATGTTTGGTAGGGGATTGTATCAGTTAGCATTTGCTACATTGAAAATAAAACCCTATCCCAAATTTAGTGATATAAAACAATTATTTATTAGCTGATGATTTTGTGCGTGACTGTGTGGGGCTCAGCTTGATGGTTCTTCTGTTGGTCTCCCTGTGCTCAGCCGGCAGATCAACTAGAGCCTGATTGGGCCAGGAATTCCTCACTCACACGTCTAACATTTGGCTGGGTGGCGGGGAGCTGAGCCCTATGTCTCCAGCATCTGGCAGGTTAGCCTGGGCTTCTTTATCTGGTGACTGGCTTCCAAACGCAGCAAGAGGCAGGGCAAGCTCCAATGTGCAGACACTTTGCAAATGTTTGGTTATGGCATGTTTGCTAATGTTCCTTTAGACAAAGATCACACAACCAAGTCCAGATTCAATACACTCTACCTTTTGATGGGAGGAGTGGTAGCCCTTTTTATTTTGCTTTCTATTATAGGGTTCAAATGAAGTTAAATATATTTATAGGTAATATTAGCATTTAACAATACAGCACTATTATAGAGCCTAAAGACAGTCACTGTGACCTGAGCTTTTCAACTGAAAACTAACTTTTAATGGTGGAGATGATTTTGATCACTTGGTAACAATCACATTTGATGAAAACCAAATGATAACAAATGATTATGTTGGAAAATAAAACATGAGGTTTAGTAAGATTCCACATGAGATATTTATATTAGCTCTTGTTAATAAGGACGTGTAATAGCTGTGGGAAATCAGGATGTCCCTATTTGCAAATGCCACCTAATTGTCATTGCATTGGAGCATCAGTTACCTCTAAGGAAGTGAATAAAAGGAATTTAAGTAACTCATTCTATTTTAGCCAATATTGTATTGGACTTACAATGATTTAACTCAAACTGAACATTCTATCAGAAGATGGATAGCTAGTTATATATGTGTGTAAAATGATAGGTATTCCTGTATGTGTATAATACTATTTTCACATACACAAAGCAACCTGTTCTAGGAGTATATCACCCTTCAGCCTCTAATCTGCTGCTCTAACATCAACATGTAAATCTCATTACCAATTAAGCTGCCTGCATGAGAACACATCAAATGCCTGCAAAGTGCTCTGGCTTCCTATACCTAATTACAAATTGCAGAATACTAATTTTGGTGTCAATCAATCTGAGAGTCAGTGTGCTGTACTAACACTCAGTGGGGGGTGAGGGGCATTGAATATCCATTTCTCTGTCTGCCTCCAGGTTAGTTCCATTCCCTGTCCCCAAATTGTCTATGTTGTTTAGCATTTATGTCTATACCATGAAAACAATTTTCTTCTCTTAAATGTAAAGCAGTATTTTCCACCAAAAGATGTTCTTTTCTATGGTACTTTAGATAAGGTAAATTACTTTAGCCAATCCATTACTTGAAATATTTCTTTTCTCAAATGTAGGGCCTTGCTGAAGTGAATTTCAATTTGTCCCTGCCTTTTTTGCACAATACAGGCTTTGATTGGTCCCGCTAACCTTTTTTCTATGCTCTATCCTAAATAATAGCGATTCATTTTTTAATATCTAGCCCTCTGAGAAGACTGCTATCAAACTTCCTTTTTTTTTAGTATAAAAACAAATAAATTGGGTTTTGAGTTTGACTCTGCCACTACCTGTATGACACTTTGAAAGATTTACTCTTTCTAGGTCATTGTTCCCTCGTTTATAAAATGGGATCATACCTAATACTTAGAATGGTTGTGAGGATTAAATGAAATCGGGCACATGGGTTGCTGAGCATGGCGTTAGCACACTTACAGTAGCATCATAAATGTCACCTCGGGGAGTGCTCCCTGCAATTAGCGGCGATTCCCTTTAAGCCATGACTTTGACATTTTAAAAACTAATTTTAGGGGAAACGTTGCCTTTGTATTAGGATATACAGATTACAAATGAACATTTGCTGGATGCCTCAGAGAACAGGGAGAAGCAGATTAGTTTGGGAACACAAGATCCCAGAGTCTGACTCTACTACACATCAACAGACATTTTCACTGACTCACTCAATCGCTGTATACAATGGGCTGACCATGCTCCAGGGACAGGTGACAAGGCACACCTGCCCTCGAGGAGCTCAAAGTCCAGAGGGAAACAAAGACATGAAAGGACTGTAAAAATAAACCTAAGATTACAGACGGTGATGAGTGCGATGAGGAGACAGGGCAGGGTGCTATGAAAGAGAATGGCAGCCGAGGCCTGTTTTAAATGAGTGGTCAGGGAAGGCCTCTCTAAGGAAGAGGTACTATCTGAGCTCAGACTGGAAGGGGAAGCTGGAGAGAGTTCAGCAGAGCGGGGAACAGCATTCCGGGCATATGGAATAGCCCATGTGAGGCCCTCACATTGAAAAATCTCAACTTTTTGTTGTGGGTTTCACAAACTACAGCAAATCCATTGCAGTTTAGCATAGAGAAGAGAGAGAAACAAAAGAGAAGGTTGCGAAGTAGGCAGTGGCCACATGAACAAGAGCCGTTGGCTATATTTAGGGTGATCCTAGGTCTGGTGTCTCAGGGACCATCTGGTTTAGGCCCGTCATCCTCATGTAATTATTAGTAACGTCCTCTTCACTCTTAAAAATGTCCTGGTTTCATTAATTATGTATGTGATCACTTTAGCTGTATTAAACAGTATAGATTTCATTCTGAATGTTGTGGGAGCCTTTGAGGAGTTTTAAGGAGAATGATACACTCTGATCTACCTTTAGGTGATGAGTGGATGCAGGGAGAAAAGGCAGAAGATGATTCAGGGGCTTAGGAGACTGAGGGTGTTGGCTGGGAGTAGGACGGTGACAGTGAGGATGAAGAGGTGTAGATGGATTCAAGATACAGTTGGAGGTAGGGTGGTGAGGTCCTAGTATGAAGTGGATATGGGAAATGAGGGAGAAGGAGTTATCGAGAAAACTTCCAAGGTTTAGTTTAAACAACTCAGTGCCTGGAGGTGCCATTACTTCAGTGGGGACAACTGGGAGTAGACACCACACGAGGAATGAAGAAAGGGAAGAACAAAGGCCCCATTTTTTATGTAACTTTGAGATGCTATGGAGGTGCCAGGTGTTTGCTCAAGGGTAAGTAGTTACCCCAAGATAAATAGATAACTAAATCTGTATAGATCTAAGTAAGCCTGAGACTCGGACCCTTGTCTTCCAAATTCAAACTTTCTCTATTCATGTAACCATCTTAAATTTGGAGTTGTACTTGGCTATTTCTTCATGCCAAGTTTTCTGAGTAAGGCTTGTGATGGATGCCTAGGTTTCTGTTTGTGGGAATTTAGTTGCAATAGGACCTAAAAGTGTATTTAAATAAATTTCTGAAAATAGGGAACAAAGCATCCAACCTACAAGAGTGTGACGGAGACCCTCACTTGACAAACTAGGACATCTGGCGTAGAGAGGTTGTGTGCTTTCACGACGGTTACCCAGGTAGTGGGAGAGCTGGGATCCCATCCTCAGTCTCCACCCATCCCAGAACAGCATTATTTCCAAGAGTATAAAATCTATGAACAGTTCTCCAATGAGAAGTCCTTTAGCAAATAGACATTTGCTACATGCAACAGTGGGTTTTGTTGTTGACCCTAGTTAAGGGGAGGGTTTTCTCTCTGGAGAGTAAACCCATCTTTAAACAGTCTTCCAATTGTAAGAGCTAGTTTGACTGTTCAGATTTTCCAGAGTGAGAAGCATGTGTTTTGAGTGACACAGAGTGCTCTATTGTGTCACTCAGTACCCGATGCATCTCAACACAGCTGACGTGTCCATTTGCTGCGGAGAGACAGCTGGCTGCTGGGCCCACCAGCGCGGTGCCGATTCAGGTAGAGACAGCTGCCCTGCCACCAGGTACGGTGAGCTTAGAGAAGAAACAGGCCGAAAAGGTTGCAGCTTTTGGCGTTCCTTGGACTTCACCCCGGTTAATTGATTTGGTATCGTTCATTGGATGGAGTCCTTTAGAACTTCTCATCACGTCAGCCTTTTATTGAATCAGTGCTTTCGATGTGTGGCAATTAAAATGAGTTTCGGACAACAGGACACGGTTGTGACCGTCACCCTCGTAGAGCAGGGTGCTGATTTCATGCAACATTTCTGTACTACCCATCAGGTTTCAACCAGTTAATTACATCACACCGAGCCTGGGAATGAAGTTGAAATTATTGTACGTGGAATCACCCACACAGTTAGTGATCATGACTAAAGCAACATTTGCACGGGCCTTGGGTGTCATGTTTGCCCGAGAGTGACTTGCTCCTTTCATCCATGCTCTCAGCTGTCACCCCATGTCTGGAGAGTGTGCCTGCAAGCCGGGCTGGTCGGGACTCTACTGTAATGAGACATGCTCTCCTGGATTCTTCGGGGAGGCCTGCCAGCAGATCTGCAGCTGCCACAATGGGGCTGACTGTGACAGTGGGACTGGAAAGTGCACCTGTGCCCCGGGATTCAAAGTGAGTAGCTTGGGGGAAGGAGACAAGGCTACAATGTGCCTTATGTTGATACCATGACTTACACGACCTTTTCTGAAGCACAGTGAATATGCAAAAATCAATGCCATCATTTAACAGGAAAAAGAATAACTAGTAATAGGCGACACAAGTAATTACCTTAGAATGATGACTGGGAAAGCTGGTGAAACTATACATGTGGCATTAATAGTTAATTATTTAATTACTATATGCCACGAAGTATGCTGTATTGTAGTTATTCCTTACTTATTTTACTGTTTCATAGGCAACAAAGAAATTCCTTTTCCAAGTAGGATACATGTTATTGTCAACAGTTTTTGTCTTAATTCCATGTAATTTGAAAGCACATAATATATATTGGCCTGGTTGGTATGGCTCAGTGGTTATAGCATCAGCCTGCACACTGAAGGGTCATGGGTTTGACTCCCAGTCAAGGCCACGTGCCTGGGTTGCAGGTTTTATCCCTGGCCCCAGTTGGGGTCATGCAGAAGGCAACCAACTGATGTGTCTCTCTCACGTCAATGTTTGTCTCTCTCTCCCTCTCCCTCCCTTCCACTTTATCTAAAAATCAATGGAAAAATAAAATATATCCTCAGGAGAAGATTAACAACAACAGCAAGAGAAAGCACATAACATATCAAGTTAGTACTTATTATGTATTTACATGTGATGGTTAGTAGTACATAAGTTTTATGGTCCCTTTGGGAGTCTAGAACTTACCAAAATGCCTATATATGCCAATAGAGCAGAATTTTGCCTGTTTTCTAGGGTTTCTTAGCTACAGGTCAGGAATTTATGTTTTAAAGGAAAATGGGTTGGTTTTTTAAATTATTCTCTCCCATTTTAAAGAGAACATTAAACTGTGAAGGATGCTGATGGTTCTCCCGGAGCACATCATGCAGAACAAGAGGACCATAAAGTCACTGAGCTGAGAGATCTGTACAGGGTTTTCTGACCCGTCACCATCCTCTGGTTGAGCCCACGAATCTGCCTTGTCTTAAAGAGTCCCTTCGGTTTTCAGAGGAGGTCACCTCCAGTCACCTTTGGGAACCGGCTTCTATGCCTAAGGCTCACTGTCAGATAATAAATTGAATCATGTGGGCTGTTCCTTTGCTGCACCCACTAATCATATCACCTATTTATTATACAAGGAAGTCTAGGACACATTGCAATTTAATATATAGTTTATATTTACGTTTGCTTATTGACAGTAATTTTATAGCTACAGTTTATTGTTATATATCTCCTTGTCTGAGCAAGGACAAAGGGTTTTGTATTTGCTACAAAGGAGAACTAATGCAGGCAGCAGGCTTTTCTGGGTGTTATTCAACACTGTATCAAAAACACAGGCCAGCCAGCATTGCCCTTGAATCTCTAAATCTGTAGAGTGGTGACATTATAGCAACTTTTTAATATACGATGTGTTAGAATTGGAGAGGGAGTATAATTAGCATCACCAAGATATACTTTCGTTTATTTGTGTTGGCCTTATTTCAGTGTGTAGGATTGCATGCACTTTCCTGTTTGTGCCTGTCTAGGGAACTGACTGCTCTGCTCCCTGCCCCCTGGGAACCTACGGGGTAAACTGCTCCTCTCTCTGTGGCTGTCAGAACGATGCTGTTTGCTCTCCTGTGGACGGGTCCTGTACTTGCAAGGCAGGTAAGTGGGTGAAAGAGTCTTTGATCTGATCCCGGTCCTGTTATCTCCTAAGGTCACAGGAAAGAAACCTTGACTAGGGTTGTAGGACCAGCTGTGCCACAATTCAGTGCCCGACCTCGCAGAGCCTTCCAGCCAGGGGGGTTCTCCTGCTCGCGTGAGCTGAAGGAAGAGGCTCGTGCATGGGTCATGATCTCCCAGGTTGCTGCCAGCTCCAAAAGTCTGTGACTCTCTGCACTTTGGGGATGAGTAAGCCAAACAGACACGTGTCCATGCCCCTAAATTCACTGACCTGGAAAATGATGAGAAATGCCGTCAAGCACCAATTTCACATGAGGGCCAGAATGTGTCTGTCCAGAGTTCTGCAGTAGCCAGGATCCTAGGTAATTAGTGTTCATGGACAATGTTGTCCTGCTTTCAAGACAGGGTTGTTCTCTCAAATGCAAATGTTCCTTCTCCCACCCACCTAAGAATTTCACTCTCCTGTCCTGAACAAGACTCAGCATCACTGTGCATTAAAGGGGCCCCCACTCCCTGTCTCTTCCCCCAGTAGCCCCGTCGTGCTTCTTTGTGACAGATCACACAGACAGATGGCTGTTTGGGTGCTCTGTTCATGTCTGTGCTGGGGCTGGGGACACTGCTGTGCATGTCTGAGATGCTTCTAACGGGAAAGTAGCTTGGGACGGCTCGGCCCAACTCCCTGCTGCTGCTGTTTGCTCACGTGCTCTGGCCTTCTCGTCATGGCAGGCTGGCACGGGGTGGACTGCTCCATCCGCTGTCCCAGCGGCACCTGGGGCTTTGGCTGCAACTTGACGTGCCAGTGCCTCAACGGCGGAGCCTGCAACACCCTGGACGGGACGTGCACGTGTGCCCCGGGATGGCGCGGGGTGAAATGCGAACTTCCCTGCCAGGTACGACCAAACCAGTCCCCCAGCGGGGAGCTGGTGCCAGAGGGTTAGCCTCTGTTTGCAGTTTTCCTGACTCGAAGTGTCTGAGTGCAAACCAAACCTCAGTAACTATGAGAAGAATTAGGATTTGAACTTAGATTGGATATAGGATTGGGAAGGGGGTAAGCATGGAAACTGGATAGGTAGCTTTGTGAGAATCATTTTCTTCTATTGCTTCATCTCTACTCAGGTTACCCTCATTGCTGTCCACTGCCCCGCGCCCATCTATGTTTGTTGTTGTTGTTCTTATACTCATCTCCTCCTGGCAGCCAATCAACAGCATTTGTCCAACACCCAGAGTATGCCCGTCGACTCCCCAAATACAGCGTTTCCACTGCAGTGGGAACCCTCCAGCCTCTGGGGTGGAAAGTGGCGGGGAACTAAAGGGGGTGGTGACAGTGTCACAGAAATGCTCACAGAGGTGGTGAAAGAAGTTTTGGAAACAGCTGTCTTTTAACGTAAATATCTCTGGAGTCACGAGAATCCCCAAAGATTTCCCCTGGTCCAACGCTGACTCTATTCGCTTGACCTGCTTTGGAGATACTCGTCCCTGGAAGTCCCGCACTGTGTCACCCGCAAGACTGCAATGGAAAGTGCATTCCTAGTAACACGCTGATTTCTCTTCCTTTTCCTGAGTGAACGCCAGGTTGTTTCTTCCCCTCCTTTCCATCACTCTTTCCTGCTATCACAATTCTTTCCTCCTGAGCCATTGAGTGTTCTCTCCGCAGTGTGTGTTCTCTGGCGCGTCCGATAGCACGATGGCCCTGTGACCCCGTGACCCCTGAAAGGGCCCCTCCAGAAGGACCTTCCTCGGAGGCTCTTTTCTCCCTGGGCTTCCTCCTCATTACGTACAACCCATTTCCCAAAGCAGAGAGGATCTGCCCTGGGCTACCTCATCCCCGCCAACCCTCAGGACAAAGTTAAGTGAGCGTGGCTGCCTCTCACCCACCAGTGAACAAATTATCAGTGCTCTCGGAGGGGCTGGGTCACCTTTCATTCCCAGTCTGATTGTGGACACAGCAAAGCCTCTGGCACCATCGTGTCTTTTCTAGTATATTAGATGCAAGGCCGATGGTTTAGTGGCTCATAGGTGGCAAGGCTAAATCCTGTGCAACCCATCGGACATTAGTGGGCCTAAAAAGCGGTTCCTGTATTTTATTTTAATACGTTTAATAATCTGGACAAACGACTGTGCCATGGAACACGCACTGCTTGCTCCGTGCTGGTTCTCAGGTTGCTCTCTCCCAGTCATTGCACACGCACGCTGTCCTTAGGCGGGGCAGGACGTGTCTGCACAGCCTCCCACTCCCTCCCCACACACTAAATGACCACGTCCACAGAGAGCCTCATCTCCGCTGCGCCACCAGAGGGACGTGCGTGCGAGAACAGGGAGGATGGGGGGGGACAGCAGGCGAGTGTGCAACCTGGACTTTTCCTCAGAATCCTGACTCGCTTCAACCTGTCCAGGCTTCTTCGTCAAAAGGAGGACGTTGATTAGGAAAAGTCAGAAAAGACTCGTTTTCCCTTGCAGCCCCACGTATCTCATTGGCAGCCTATGGAAACGAACTTAAATTCAGCTGGAGCGACAATACTTTTTAGAGGTTTGGAGCTTCTCTCCGTGAGTCAGGCTCCTCCCTTTGTGCTACAGAATAACATGCCTTGTAGGGCACATTGAACTGTTTTATAAAAGCCTTTAGGAGCCAAAGAAAATATGTTTACAAGTTGTGGTTTACAATAAGGTAAAAAACAAACAAACATTATTTCAATTAGTTGGCATAGTTATGTACATCTGCATATATATGCATATCAGCACCGTAGTATCATTGATTTCACCATTCATATATCCCGACCCTGTCAGTCAGAAACTAATCTTTGAGGGACCTTAAAACACTGACCTTCTGAAGCCTGTATTTAGGGGGGCAGGAACGCTGGAAAGAGGTGATTATAATGCGCATTGCTGGAGGTGTTTGGGAGCATTTGTACCCGAAACGGCGGGCTGGGGCCCTGTGTCTCCCACGGTTGGATTTCCCCGTCCTCACTGCTGTTGTCCATGCAGGATGGCACGTATGGGCTGAACTGTGCCGAGCGCTGTGACTGCAGCCACGCGGATGGCTGCCACCCCACCACGGGCCATTGCCGCTGCCTCCCCGGATGGTCAGGTGAGAGCCAGGGGAATGGGAACCGTCCTGCCGAGGCCCCGCTCTGCTCCTTGCTGTTCCAAAGAAACATACACAGGTCAACTGCACAGAAAGAATGAAAATAGAGCTGTCTCCAGTAAGCTGACACATTTTTCCCCAGAAATACTACTATTAGGTTTAATTAATCTGTAATCCAAGAGTGACTTTTTGTTGAACTGTCCAGGGCAGTTCTCCTGAGCCTTCATGGAAGGTCCAGTGGTCAGAATTCAGGCGGGCAAGAGGGGAAAAGTGTGAATTGCTTTGAAGAGTCGAGCAAGACCGCTGTGGCATTTCTGAGCATTGAGGCAAGAATGATTGAACTAACCCTTAGGAATGTAATTAAGGTTACCTTACCGAGACAGAAATATTAAATATTAATATTAACATGGTCAATATGCAAATGTTAAAGTAATTTATTACTAGAAATAAAAGTTTTAACTTACTTTTTCTTATAATAATGTTGGTCATAAAAATTCATACTATGGTTGAATACCAATTTTCTAACCCAGTTTCTCTTTATTTATATGACTTCATGGTTTTAGCCAGGAAGTTTAACACATTAATAGGGGTCTTAAAAGAAGACCAGTTTTTGCCCTGGCCGGTCTGGCTCAGCGGTTGGAGCTCCGGCCTTCGGACCAGAGAGTTCGGGGATCAGTTCCCACTAGGGGCACATACCAAAAAAAAAAAAAGAACAGTTTTTGCTCATGATGCACAGACTTGGAAGATGGCACTAAACACCCAAACAAATTGGGGTCTTGTTCTTTTTTATACATCAAGTCAAGCCTATCCTTAAAAAATGAACTTTTAAATACCTTGTAAGAAAAACTGTGCATGTCAGTGCAATAGGACAAATATTGAGCATTGTGATGAACGACTGAACGTATTGATGATCATTTCTGTTTAAAGTAAAATAAAATGTTGATCATTGATTTGTTAGCTTAGAGGAAATCTTGTTATACTGGGGACTGCATTAGAGGTAGATAAATGAACCAAAACTCCCTTTTAAATGTTTGAAGTCATTTGTGTGTGCATGTGTATTTGTGTATATGTTATATTTGTATCTAAATATATTTGTATATAAATTTAGAGAAGAGAGAGAATTTGTGTTAAGAGACTGTTTCCATATTGATGCTTCAGTATCCTCCAAAATGTTTTCAACTTGTCCTCTAAAAGAAATTTGCAGTAACAAGCTAAATATCCTCTTTAGTGATGGTTTCTATTTTCTGAAGACGGACCTTTCAGAAGAGACTATTATGCCTCCATACCAGAGATGTCACATTTAGGAAATTATGGAGGCAAAAATGCATACAAAGAAGCTAGAGAAATAATACTAAATAATGTGTACTGAGTGCTCACCGTAGGCTCACAACTCCATGAGGTAGGAAATATTATTTACTTTCTCCCTTTACAGATGAGGAAGCTGAGGCAAAGAAATGTTAAGTGGCTGAACCAAGGTCCCAGCGTCAGTCAGTGTGAGACAGGGTTCACACAAATGCTCCCCACTGAGTACTCAGCTCTTTGAACTGCTGCACCCACCTGCCTTACACAGACTCGCTCCAGGAGGTGCTGGAGGAGAGCCGTTTAGCTGGGATTTTTATTCTCTCTGATAAAGACTTCTAAGAATTGTATGAGGGACCATGGTGGTCAGGGCTGACATCCAGCAAACTCTCTCTCTCTCTCTCTCTCTCTCTCTATATATATATATATATATATATATATATATATACACACACACACACACACACACACACGTATACATGTGTCTGTGTACATATATGTGTGTGTATGTGTGTATATATATACATACATATGTACACATACATATATAATAGCTTTATTGAGACATAATCATATACCATAGAATTCACCTAAAGTGTACAATTAAGTGGTTTTTAATGTATTTATTTATTTATATATTTTTTTATCCTCATCCGAGGACATTTTTCCATTTTTTGTACAGACAGAGTGGGAGGGAGAGAGAGGAAGAGAGAGAGAGGGAAACATCGATGTGAAGGGACACATCGAGTGGCTGCCACCCGCACGACCAACCAGGGCCGGGGACAAACTGCAACCGAGGGACGTGCCCTTAGTGGGAACCGAACCCGGGTCTCTCCGGACCGCAGGTGGACACTCCAACCGCTGAGCCAAACCGGCCAGGGCTAAGTGGTTTTTAATGTATTTAAAGAATTGTACACCATGATCAATTTTTGCAGATTTTCATCACCTCCAAAAATTAGTACTCATTAGCATTAACTCCTTCTTTATCCCCAGTCCTTTCTATGGCCTTGTTCCCCTAGGCAACCACTAATCTGCTCTCTGTCTCTGTGGGTTTGCCTTTTCTGGATATTGTATGGACTCATACAATACGTGGTCTTTTTTACTGATTTCCTTCATATTCTATTTATCCATTCATCATTGATAGGTATTTGGGGTATTTCCACTTTTTTAGCTAATTTTAATAAGGTTGCTTTGAACATTCATATGTATGTTTTTTATGTGGATGTATATATGTTGGGTATATATTTAGAAGTGGAATTGCTGGGTCATATGGTAATTTTACCCTTTTTAAGAATTCAAAAGAATTGCCTAACTGTTTTCCAAAGTGGCTGCACCATTTTACATTCCCACCAGCAATGTATGAGGATTCCAGTTTTTCTGTATTCACACTATCTGCTATTATCTGCCTTTTTTATTACAGCCATTCTTGTTGATGGGAAATAGTGTCTCCTTGTTTTTGATCTGCATGTCCCAATGAGTAATGATGTTTAATATATTTTCATGTGCTTATTGGCCATCTGTATATCTTCTTTGTTGAAATATCTATGCAGATTTTTGTTTCCTTATAGGGGAGGGGCTTGTTTCCTTTTAATTGAGATGTTTTTCTTTTGATTATTAAGTTGTAATTTTTCCTCATATATTCTAGATTATGACCCTAGTCAAATATATGACTTGCAGATATTTTCTCTCACTTTGTGACTTGTTTTGTCCACTTTTTGATGGTGCCTTCTGCAATAGAAAAGTTTTTATTTTGATGAAGTCTAGGTTGTCTATTTTCTTTCTTTTGTTGCTTGTTTTTGTCATCAAATCTAAGAAACCATTGACTAATCCACAGTCACAAAGATTTATGCCTATATATTCTTCTGAGAATTTTGTAGTTTTAGCTTTTATACTTTTATCTTTACACGTAGGTCTTTGATCTGTGTTGAGTTCAGTTTTTATGTATGGGATAAGTTTCCACCTTCCTTCTTTTGCAAGTGACTGTCCAGTTGTCCCAGAGCCATCTGTTGAAAAGACTATTCTTTTCTCCATTTAACTGTCTTGACATCCTTGTCAAAAATCAATGGACCATGATTGTGAGAGGGTTTGTTTCTGGCCTCTCATTTCTGTTCCATCGATATATATGTCTCTCCTTATGCCAGTACCATGCTGTTTTGATTGTTTTTGCTTGGTAGAAAGCTCTAAAATTCAGAAGTGTGAGTTCTATAACGTGGGTTGTCTTTTTCGAGATTGTTTTAGCTTTTTGGGGTCCCTTGAATTTCCATGTGAACTTTAGGGTCTGCATGTCAATCCCTGCAAGGAAGCAAGGTAGACATTTACTGAGGATTGAATCTATAGATCCATGTGGGAAGTACTACCAGCTTAGCAACATTAAGTCTCCAGATCCTTGATCATGGGATGCCAAGCCCTTTGGAATTTGTTGAGAGGTACTTTGGCTTTTGACAGGAATAAATTGAGATGAACCGTCATGTACTTGATTTCCAGTGTCTGAGAGCCACCTTGGGCAACAGACCAAGGCTGGTGTAAGGGGCTCTATTTTCTGTTAATGGGAGCCGCCCACGGACACACTCCCTGATCCTCTAGTTCCTTCTTGACTTGCAAAAGCTAAGATAACTCAGTTCCTAAATGTTAAAACTACATTGCTTCAGGGATTAAAGCAGATGTTCTCAGATGGAGTGACCAGCACGAAGTTCTCAATGACCACCATGAAGCAAAAGAGCAAATTCAGGAATTTCCTTTACAGAGAGGCCATTATCATTTGTTTTGGGCGAAGCTCCACCCAATCTACGTTTGACTTACGAATATAGAGGAAATGGGAGGTGTTTCTGCACAAACCAGTCATTGCTCAAGCATCCACCTGCTCTGATGATTTAGGACCAGCCTGTGCAAGGCATACTCTCGTGGACACAAGCAAACCAGGAGCTAGGATTTGGCCTGGAGCCAGTCAGAAAATGTGTTAGTTGCATTCCACAGTCTGGGTCATGGGGTAAGACAAATGATCCCATCTGGCCTGAGACTGATGGGGCTTCTGCAGGAATGCAGTGGCTTGTCACACAGTGTAATCTTGTAATCCGCTGTCCATCTGTGACGGGTCTGCTTCTCCAAGGGAGTGAGCACTGCTGCTTCCTGTCGCCCTGTCACGTGCCACCCACCGATGCTTCGCATCATTGCCCCAGAGACTTGTTCATCCGGGTCTTCTGTGTGGGCATCCGGTCTGCAATGATGGGAGGCTGCTGGGAAATGTTTGGTTTTTCTTTTTTAGAGAGGTCATCCCCACACTCACAGAATGCACACGGTATAAGCAAATGTATGTTGAGGAAAGAAAGTTCCTGAAGTTCCAGACAGCATCCTACTGTTGGACCAAGAACTGGCTTATTTTTCTAAAAGAAAAATAAATGCAGCCTCTATTATTTACACGGAACATCATTACATTGCCATCACTGGATAGGCTCATGACTTTTCATCACAAACTTGCTTTGAGTGAGTACCTTGAAAAGGCCTTTTGCAATAGAAAGAAAGGTTTGCTTTCCATTTAAACACTAGTGTCAGGGCCAGATCCATAGCATAAGCCCAGGGAAGCAAGTGTTGGTGTGTCCTCTCCTCCCCTTGCTGAGGTTGCTGTAGGTGAAGTGTTGAGACTGGCCAGACCGGGGCAGTGTGGGGGATAACAGTGAGCCTTCTGTGAAGGAATCAGTGAATCTAAC